TGCTCCAGGGCATCCATCAGGATGGAAAAAAAATGCAAGGGTAGCTACTGAACGCTGACCTATTGTATATCCAATCATTCTTTCTAATCTAAAATTCTTGAGAAAGTAGTTGCCAAACAAGTGTGCTATCACTTACACCAGTCTGAATCTGCCTGCCTGTTCTCTGGGAGAGAACTTAGAGTATTTAAGGCCTGAATCCCAGCTAGTCAGAAGCCTAGCCCTGCTGCTACCTAGCCCTCTGCTAATCCCTCTGCCTCTGGACTCTTCTGGTTTCCTCTCCCAGCCTGAACCACAGATCAGAGTATTCTGTGCGACCAGCCCGGACTCATTAAGTATCAGTGTAATAATCTGGATTGTGTTTCTTTTAAATAAACTGTTAAACTTTCATCCAGTCTCTGTGGTGTTCTGCGTTTGGGTTTAGCTTCTGAAACCCAACATGACAGACCGTAGGCTTCTGTTGAATGGGATTCCTTTTGACCACCGGTATGTGGGGGTCTGAGCTGCTCCGGCAGCAAAATAATATTTGAAGGCGGGATGGTAATCTGGATGAACTGATTGCACAGATTAAGTTTTCAGGTGGACATTCTCACTGAAAAACATATTAAAACTACTTTTTATCCACTGATCACAGCATATATAGCTGCCATTGTTACAGGCAAAGAAAGGATAGGGTAGCTCCTCCCAACGAGCATCAGACCCACTTTTGCACCGCTCAGCTGGAGCATCAGAGATGCTTCAGGGTCAGAACTAAACTTGTACAAGTATCAAAAATGAAGCAACATGCGTGTTTTTGCTGCATAATGAACTTTTTGAAGAGTTTCAGCTTTAGAGCTCATCATTGCACTGAAACAGCTCTGGTGAAAGTTGCTAATGATATTCTCATGGCCTCAGATAATTAACTTGTATCTGTACTTGAACTGTTAGATCTCAGTGCTGTATTTGATACAGTTGATCATAATACTCTTTCACAAAGACAGCACTAGACTGGTTTAAATCTTATCTATCTGATTGATTTCAATGGTTCACGATAATGACAAATCTTCCTCATGTTCAATGGATCAGTGCTAGGACCGACTCTCTTTACTATATATATAAATATATCTCTTTACTATATATATATATATATATATATATATATATATATATATATATATATATATATATATATATATATATATTAGTGCTGTCAATCGATTAAATTTTTTAATCGCGATTAATCGCATCAATGCCTGAGTTAACTCGCGATTAATCGCATTTTAATCGCACATTTTTTTCCTGATTGAAAATCATTTAAATACTCTCGATGACATACAAAAAAATACATACAGGCTAGGTTTGTGCTAATGTTCTTTTTTTAAAATGAAAACAGGTCACAGATACTGATTTATGCCATAGAAACATATGGCAAGAAGATGGGGAGGCATGTAGCAAAAAATAACAAATATGTAGCCAAAAAAAAGGCCCTGAAAACAGGCTGATGTAAAAGACAGTCTTTACAGTTAATACAGTCTTTTGAACAAAGACAAGCATTTTACCCTACCGCTATAAAATGCAGTAGAGTTAACATTAGATGTTAATTAACCAAGGTAATAATGAACAATTTTCAATCAATACATCAAAATCAATAGACCGACATCACTAGATGAAGGTAGTCTATGCTCTCTAGAAAGTTACTTTTCAGCCTCTTAACAAAAATGAGAACACACACACACCCACTCACCCACACACAGACACACCCACCCACACACACACACACGCGATACTGACCTGTTGCGTACACAGACGGCAAGAGGGCTGCTACGAGATTCCATTTCACCTCAGTAATCAGTTTTCTCAGCGTATTTCAGGTTGCTACTAGTTACCAGACACTCAACTTGTTTGTTGGTGGTGGGGCTTAAAGAAAAGGCACTAGCGTCACCCAGTGTATGAGCGTCTTTTTACCTTGAGGAGCTCCGCTCTAGAAGCCTATGAGAAATGCATAGACTGGGGGAAAATAGCCCCGCCTTCCCGCAGGCTGCAGCGGGATGTACTTGGAAAAATTGTACCATAAAACCACATAGCGTTAATCTCACGTTAAAAAAATTATCGCCGTTAAAATTGCCTCGCGTTAACGCGTTAATAACGCGATAATTTTGACAGCACTAATATATATATATATATATATATATATATGGTCAGACTCCAATTGGTAGAATTATCAGATAGCATTGGATTGATTTATACTGTAATGCTAATGATGCTAATGATATCTGTCTATAAATTCAGATGAAGCTAACCCATTACATAGATTACAGGCATGTCTTGAAGACATAAAATCCTGGATTACTCTTAACTTTCTGCTTCTGAGTGCAGACAAAACAGAAGTTATAGTATTTGGACCAGAGTCTTTAAAAAGGAAGATGATTAGCCAGTCACTTTATTTGGATGGGATTAAACTGATTTCAGATAATAAAGTAAAACATCTTGGTGTTGTTTTTGATCAGGAACTGTCGTTTAAATCCCATATCAAAGAGGTTTCTATAATTTCCTTCTTTCATCTGCTTAATATTGCAAAAATTAGAAATCTCCTGTCCAGGGGTGATGCTGAGAAACTAGGCCATGCATTTGTTACTTCAAGACTGGACTATTGTAATTCTTTACCAGCAGGAAGTCAACAAACTTTAGTTAAAAGCCGTCAGCTGATCTAAAATGCTGCAGCCAGAGTTCTAATGAAAATTTAAAAGAGAGATCATATCTCTCCTATCCTGGCTTCTCTTCATTGGCTTCCTGTTTAATAAAGTACATAATTTAAAATCCTCCCTCTTACATATAAAGCCTTAAACTGTCAAGTCATTCTTATATCAGATATATAATTGTGCCTTCTGTTCCTAACAGAGCACTTCACTTCACTGACCTCAATCTGAAGGTTTACTAGTGGTTCCTAGAATTTCTAAAAATAGAATGGGAGGCAGACCTTTTAGTTATCAGGCTCCTCTCCTGTGGAGCCAACCACCAGTTTTAGTTCGTGAGGCAGACACCCTGTCTACTTTTAAGAGTAGGCTTAAAACTTTCCTTTTAGATAAAGCTTATAGTTAGAGTGGCAAATGTTATCCTGAGCTATCTCTGTAGTTATGCTGCTATAGGCTTAGACTTCTGGAGGTCTAACAGGTCCCCTGTTTCATCATTTTGCTTCACTCTATCTCTATTCTTCCACTCTGCAGAATCTGTTAGTTCAATCTCTAACGTTACGCTCTCTCTGTCTTTTCTTATAGTAGCTTCGCCTCTTCTGTTCCTGTTTGGCTGTGACACCACCCTGGAGAGAAATATCAGCTGTGCTGCTGCCATCAACACCCTTGGTTATAGATGTTTGTCCTGTTTCTCTGACTGTGACTGGCTGGATGTGCTCTCCTCATCCTCTGACATGGGAGTTGGCTAAGAGCTGGTCTGCCTGGCTATGTGTTTCCTGGACGGGGCCGCCTTTTAAAGCTGCTTTTTGTATCTCTGCCTCTGTCTCCTTGAACCCAAGTCAGCCTCGGCAGATGGCCGCCCACACTGAGCCTGGTTCTGCTGGAGGTTTCTTCCTGTTAAAAGGGAGTTTTCCTCTCCACTGTCTCTACAAGCCTGCTTAGTGTGAAGGATTGCATCCGAGTCAATGAATCGATGCAATCAACCGGTTTTCCTTAGATAAAAAACATTTTGAATAAATTTGACTGTATGATCTGGTGAACTGTAAAGTGCCTCGAGATGACATGTGTTGTAAATTGGCGCTATATAAATAAACTGAATTGAATTGAACGTCTATGAGAGAGATCAGGGCGATATTCAGCCATGTTGAAATCGCCCAAAATGAGGCTGGACATAGGAGGCAACATACTCAATGTAACATTAAACGTGGATTGATTGGTTTATCGTTTTTTTTAATTGCTTACTATCTCCTTCTCTCTTTGGCAGTAGGTCGCCCAATCGCCACAATAAACAAACCAACTCTGTACGTGATCCACCCATGCACACTTGATATACTGTATGGCACACTGGCTCAGAGATGGAGATGCAAGGGAATATCTACTGTCTCAGCATCTGGAAAGAACCCAACAATTACTGTTAGAAGCCAACTTAGAGACCAAAAAGTTGAAAAGACAAACAAGATTGGTTCTTTATCACACTTTTATTATTTTAGTCTGTTACATACTAAAGTATACATTAGACATGTGATTTAAGTCCCTCACTTTGCATGAGAAAATGGAAAAGTTTCAGTAAGCTGAATGTCAAACAAATTTGTCTCTTTTGTGCATCTTTTAAATTACAAGTACGAATTTGCCTTCTTTTAAAAGAAATGTAATCTTTTTGAAATAATGAAAATAGCTGATTTTAGAATATTGGTTAAAATTAATGGTTTTACAGTAAGTCTCAATACGAATTGAAACACCCAAACAAGTTTTATGAGATTAATGTACGTAGCTTAAAGCTGAGTAAGTGAAAAAGAATACAGTAAGCGTTCATGGGGACCCTCTAAACATTACAGCTGTCTTGCACTTTTAATTGATAAAGAAGAATAAAAAAGACACAGCTCAACAAAGCAAGTGCGAGCAGTTAATACTTGTGATGAAATGTACCACTTGTTTCTTGTTGCTATATATATATATATATGTGTGTGTATTTCCAGTCATAAAACCCAGTCTTACACTTGCATTGTAAAGAACAGTGTGTAAAAACCTAAAAAAACATATAAAGACAGTATCACAGAGTCATCTATAGTAGTGCATAAATGAGGCTCATCTTCTTTCCAACATCTGTTCATCCCCAGAATATATACGTTCTCCCCACAGCACTGGTGTCAGGTTCATTTCTGGGCTTTGACTAGGCCATATCTGTGCCTAGATTCAGTCCTGTTTCAGTGATTCTGCTGCTGTCTGTTGCAATCATAAATCAATATAAACAAAGAGTTGTCAGTGCTACAAAGAGCAGTGCAACTGAAAAAGCTGTGATTTGGGTGCATTGTCGTTAGAGACAATTTGTCTTACCATGTATGTTGTCAGGAGTTTTGATTTTGAGATCCCCTAAAATGAAAGACAAAAAAAAGTTTACCACATCGATGGTAACATTATATCAAAGAAGAAAAAATTTTATTAACAACATTTGTATAGCTAACAAGGTATCTTCTTTCACATCATATATGCTATCACATAACCTATGTGTGTTCTTTTATGATTAAATTTATTTCTGCTACTATTAAAACCAAATTATTATATTATTGTTCAATTTCAAGGTAAAATTGCATAAAAATATCCTTTTCGGTGTATGTCTTTCTCTTTTCAAAACTTTTATGTAAAAATTTAATATTATGTAATTATTATGTTATTATGGACTGATAAAAAATCCAGTATTATATTTTCTTTCTTTGGATTTATAAATCTAATGCTAGGTTTTTGCTATTTTAATATATCTCTCTAGAAAGAGATTTGTGCTACAATGAGGTCAACATTCAACAAAATAAACCTTATTTACGAAGGGATTTAAAGCTACAGTGTGTAATTTTCAGCGACATCTAACGTCCAGACTGCAGACCGCAGCAACATGAACATCTCCCCCCCACCGCTTCTCCCCCCCAACAGTACGGCGAGCGTTAACAAAATGTCTTCCATGACGTCCGCATCACCTACCTTCTTAAGTGATGAGGTTTGTTTACATAGATAATTTTACAGATAGTATTTCATTAGTCTGTGTAGGGTATAGATTTCAGTACCGTCTCAGTTCATCTCTCTCAACTTGCCGTAGTTACTTTCGAGCGTAATGGGCGAGCTCGCAATCGCTAGTTTGTTGGCTCTGCGCTGCCGTAGCGCAAAGATGTCTGCCTCCATGGCTGCGAGACCCGCTCCTATGTAATGATAAATAACGAATTCTAAGGCAACGCAAATGTTAAGGTTAAGAGGCTGAGCTCCTAGATGATGATAAATAACATAGTTATGTATAATATATTACATTTCTGACTGTATATCCCTGTAATTATTACACACTGTAGCTTTAATAGAGGTTTGTCTCTCTTTTATGTCGAACATTTTAGACATTGACAAACATTTTGGAAATTATATTGTAAATGAAACATGGATGTTTGTTTAGGATAACATAATAATAATTATTGCACATGTATGGTTAAAAATTGGGATATTTGCCGTTTTGATGCGTGTTTGACGTCACCCGCGCACGCCAGCTACCATTCATTCATCCTGTTCCCTGAACTGGTGCTAGTTTTACTGACATGCCTGGAAGATGTCTAGTGCTACAACCACAGATGATCTCGCTCTCGAAATGGAATTGAACAATTCAGATTAGCTAGCCAAATGAATAGAAGGGCCTATCACAACTCCAGGGCGGACGACGTCATACATGGGCTGCTTTGTTTTAGAAAAATATAAATTAAGAAAAATATAACCGCGGATGGGGGACAGTGATTCGTCTAAATGTTATGAATTCTGGCGTAGCATAAATGATAAATTATGAATAGTTTAGTTTGTGCCTTCAAGTCGTTGCCCATAGGAAGACGTTACTTGGATATAACCTAACGGAATATGTTTTGAACAGCTCCAAATGACACAAAACTCATATGGGTGAGTAGAACATGATGTAATAACATAAAATCAAGGGGCCAATGTAAAAAAACGATGTTCCCCCCTAAAGCTAGAACACACCAAATCTGATTTTGCTCCTGCTCTGACAGAAAATTGTGTCGGACAAGTCATGGCGTTTAGCACTAATTGAATATCAATGGGGATGATCACATCCGATACAATATTACAAAAGGGGCTTGGGTAGGTCCTACTGAGATAGACCCCAGCCTAACACCGAAATCCCACATCCTCCATAACCTCTTTGTTCAAGACTGCCTGCACAAAGCAAAGCCTGAATTGATGAAATATTAAAAAACATATGTTGGGAGCTGGAGAAAATCCCATCTTTCTCCAGCAAAGGCCGCCGTGGATCCTCTGAGGGAGCCTCCTGCGCAGCTGCAGCTCATCTAGATCATCAGAGGATCCACTATATAAGCTGTCTTCAGACCTTGCCTCAACGCCGCAGTGTTGTTCCAGTTGGTCAGCGCTAAAGCCTAGATCCTTGAGTATCTCCATGACTTTGAATCCAGGTTGGATTCTAACCACTATCTCTGTGCTTCCAGGAAACCCGTGTCTCCTCCGTGAAAGCTCAGGAAGAGCTAACCTGCCGAGCCGACCCTCTGAGCCAAACCCTGAAGATTCTCTGAGAACCTCCAAGCAGCTCTGGACCAGAGCTGGGAAACCAAGGCTAAGGTCTGTTCAAGCTAGACGTGAGACGCTGAAGCAGCAAACGGACTCTGCTGATAAACACCTCTCCAGAACCAACAGTGACTCTCCCAAAGAGAGCCTCAAGAACCCTCAAGGTACATCAGAGCTCACTTGGAAATCTAATCCTGTCAGCAGTCCTTAACCGCTCTGTCTCTCACGCAGACTCCGGTGAAACCAGAACCCAGGCCCGAACCTGTCATCAGTACATTCTGTGTGTTGTGCTTAATAAACGTGTTAAACTTTCATCCTTGTGTCCGTCAAGTGGTGTTCTGCATAATTGGGTCTCCATTTGAGAACCCATCATGACAGAACACTGCGGCCAAACTCAAGGCCCAGCAGATCACCTCACCCGTCGTTTGGAGGAACAGGATGCTCAACTACAAGGACAATCCCAAACGCTCCGTGAGTTATACCATCTAGTTGGAATTCATAACCAAATGCTACAGAGTTGTGCTAACTTCCTGAATAGCGCTAATGCTGCATCTGTTCAGCAACCATTTCCGGGTCCAGTCCCTCCCCCGAGGTCACAACCTGTGACGTCATCAGAGTTCCGCCCTAGTCTTCCAGAGAAATTCTCCGGTAACATGAAAGATTGCAAAGGATTTTTATTCCAGTGTCGGTTGATTTTTCAGAACTCTCCTGGTAGCTTTTCCACAGATCACAAGAAGATAACGTTCATTCTTTCTCAGTTAACAGGAAGAGCCTTGGAATGGGCTCAGGCAAGATTTGCCACTGACGACAGTTTAAATTGCCGTTTTTCTGACTTCATTGCTGAATTCACCCAGGTTTTCAACCAGGAAACTGACCAAACTATTGATTCCAGAGCTCTTTTCAGCCTTAAACAAGGAAATTCATCGGTGGCAGATTTTTCAATAAACTTCCGGGTTAAGGCGGCAGCTTCCGGATGGAACCAAAGCGCCTTGAAGGGAGCCTTCTTCATGGCATTAAACGAACAGATTAAAGATGAACTAGCAACCCTCGACGAACCAGCTTCCCTCGAGGATTTAATTCGCCTTTCCATTAGGCTTGATAATAGGATTCGAGCCAGAAACAGTTCTAAGAAGCTGAGTAATTTCTCTCCTGCCTCTCTAAATGTAACTGTGTGTTCTCCCTCTACAGAGCTGATGCCCACTCAGAGGTCTAAGTCCCAATCTCTACCATTGCCCGTTCAAGCCTCTCATTCGGGGGAAAGGGATTTTGAACCTATGCAGGTGGGACACACTAGGCTCACTCCAGAGGAGAGACAGAGGCGTTTCCTAAGTAAGCTATGTATCTACTGTGGCGAGAGTGGACACTTCATCGCCTCCTGTCCGGCAAAATTAAAAGCCGGGGCCCGCCAGAGGATCTGAGGAGTCTGGCGGGCCAAATTGATACAATAAAATCTCCTCGTTTGTTGCTGCCTGCCACGCTCTTCTGTGATAACCAAAGTCTCTCTTTCTCCGCTTTCATCGACTCAGGCTGTGAGCGTAACCTAATCGACTCTAACCTCGTCCAGTAACTCCAGATTAAAACCGTTCCTCTCTCTCAACCTCTCAGTGTGTCCGCCATAGACGGGAAAAGACTCCACCGTGTTACCCACCAAACTCAGCCCCTCGAGCTACTTCTGTCAGGTAACCACAGAGAGACAATAACTTTCTTTGTGTTTCCCTCTGCATGTTCCCCGCTGGTCCTCGGGTTCGAGTGGTTGGAGAAGCATAACCCTCACATTAATTGGACTAAACGTCTTCTGGAATCATGGTCCACTACGTGCCACGAAACCTGCCTTCGTTCTGCTGCCCCTATGGTGGGGCCTCCTAGTGGTGGGGGGGAGATGGACTCTCCTGACCTTTCTTCAGTTCCCTCTGAGTACCATGACTTAGCCCCTGTCTTCAGTAAGGTCAGTGCGACGTCCCTACCTCCTCACAGACCATACGATTGCGCCATTGAACTTTTACCTGGTGCACCTCTTCCTAGCAGCAGATTGTATAACATTTCCAAGCCCGAAAGAGAAACAATGGAAAAATACATCAACGAATCATTAGCTGCTGGAATAATTCGCCCATCATCCTCTCCATTGGGCGCCGGTTTCTTCTTCGTGGGCAAGAAGGATGGTTCCCTGAGACCTTGTATTGATTATCGAGGTTTGAATCAGATCACAGTTAAAAATAAATACCCACTGCCTCTTCTCGCCTCTGCTTTTGAACCTGTACAGGGTGCAACAGTGTTTTCCAAGCTGGATTTAAGAAACGCCTATCATCTCCTTAGGATACGAGAGGGCGATGAATGGAAAACTGCCTTTAAGACACCCTTGGAGCAATTCGAATACCTGGTGATGCCCTTCGGTTTAACTAACGCTCCTGCCTGCTTTCAGGCTTTGGTTAATGATGTTCTCAGAGATTTCCTCAACGTGTTTGTTTTTGTGTACATTGATGACATTCTCATCTATTTCAAGGACCTCCAGGAACACAAGAGACATGTCCGTCTTGTCTTACAGAGACTACTGGAAAATAAACTGTTCGTGAAAGCCGAGAAGTGCGAGTTCCATCAACCTTCAGTCACCTTTTTGGGGTTTGTGCTCGAGGGCGGCCAGGTAAAACCTTCAGAAGACAAGATCAAAGCAGTCTTAGACTGGCCAGTTCCTGAAAACCGAAAACAGCTACAGAGGTTTTTAGGGTTCGCTAACTTCTATCGCCGATTCATCAGAAACTACAGTCAAACCGCCCTCCCATTAACCTCTCTGACTTCCATTAAACGAACTTTTCAGT